TCAAATAGTAATAGACTAGTTTGTTTGGTTTTTGACTAGGTGTAATACACAGTGATGGGATTAGATTTTTTTGGTATTTTCAGACATAAATGTGGTATTCTGCACAGTTTTTTTGGATCCTGGACTCTTATCTCTTCTACTTCCTTCCCAACTTTAATTCTCCCCAATTTGCACCCTATCATTCTAAAATATTGTCCTAGCTCAGGAGAGAAGGACCTCATAAATTGCCCACCTTTCTCCAGAAAAGCAGAAAATTTGTAAACTGAGACCTACAAATTGGAAGTGAATTACATCTTCCAAATCCGACTTAGACAGCAGGCATAATTAATCCTTTCTTGACTCAAGTTGGCAGGGAAGAATATGTATTGATTTGATTCTTGCTGCTGAAAAAAGTTAAATATTAAACAAATTCCTTTGAAATGCATGCACTTCTTTATGCATCATCCTTTCTAAAATATGTTGATGAATTGGCTTACTGTCTGTATGTTTTCTTCCAGTCTCTGAAGTGCTTTTTCTGTTATTAGGAATCTTCCTCCCAGAGACACTGTCCTAACAAAATAGCAGGTTGTATGTTGATATATGATGCTATCACAACTGAGCAATTCAAATGCAGAATACAACAGCAAGGCTGTATGATTACTGGGATGTATTAGTACTGTAGCTGCAGCTACTGCAAAGCTTGTATTTGGTGGGTTGTGCATGTGGTGTTCGCTCCCAGAGCTGACTCAGTACAAGTAAAATGGTTCAAGTGCAGTCAGAGGTTCTTCAGTGGAGCTTTCAGGCTCCCTTCCACCTACACAAAGGAGACAAATTGTTTTTAATAATTTATGCTAATCTTTGCTGCTCAGCAAAATTTCTGTAATACTAGAATATTCACTATTGCCTTAGATGATATTTGTTACATACACTTAGTTTAGGTGAAGCTGACTAACATAAATTGTGATGAAAAAATAAGTAATAAAGATGCTGTTTATTTATATTGCTCAGTTAAATATTTTGGAGTATATTCATATTCCTAATGAAGCCACAAAAAAAAAGAAATTATACATAGCAATCATTTGTTTTTAAGTGGCTTGAAAGGTAATTTTAATCTTTCTTGAGGATACCGAACTTTCACCATATATTTGAAAACACAAATTATAACCCTAACTCTAAACTACTGTAGGTGTGATACATTATATATATGGTTTTACATATATATATATTATATATGCACACACACAGTATTATCTTTAAATGTAAATGCTCTAAAGTACAAGCTGTCACTGAGTCTATTTAAAAAGAATAGCAATATTCCAGGTCACTGCAGAAACAGTAATAGTTACAATCGCTCTTCATGCATTTGTGAACAGTGGCAGACTGCATTATCAAATAGATTTGGAAAATGTAAGAAAGATCAAGGAGCTATTAGCAAACTGAATTCACAGCATTAAGATTATGCTTGAAAGAAAGATGTTATCTCTTGTCCTTTCTTTCAGTTTCCACACAAAGGAGTACTAACCAGTATCATTTTGCCGATAAGTGTTATGAAATAAGTATGTGCTATGCAGCACAGCTGTGTGATTACTCTAAATGTTCATAAGCACCTAACAGTAAACACAAACAGTGGCTTTAAAGATATTTCTGTACTAGGGTGTACTTTGATGGTAAGAAGCTGTAACATGCTAAATTCTGAGGTTTCTGTGCAACAGAAACCATACTGTATAGAGACACTCCACCTACAGCACTGTGGTCAAAAAGTTGATTAAAAAGAGTTTTAGATGCAGAAAAATATGTTGAGTTAGTGTTTTTTATTTTCTGTGCGTTTATCTTTTTCTAAAACATGATGTATATATTGAGATATATAATATGTTTCTGAAGAAATGCATCACAATTATCTGCTGTCAGGGAAAATATTAATGGAGTATTTGAAGTAATAATATATTTATCAGAATTTGAATGAAGTTTGCTACCTATCTCTATCCACTCACTGCCAAAAGCCATTGACAGAGACCATTTTTTTTTCGATAGAACTTACTATCAAATATATATACTTGAGACCAGTGCTGTGGAAAGTGTTTTTTTTAAAGGCTTGAATAATTATATTTAATGGCAATCCATCTTTTCTTAACAGTATGTTGACAGAGAGGCTAAAGAGCAATGGCAATACTGGCAATAAAAGTGAATGGAGTATTGGCAAAGAGCCTCATCTTTTTGAGATGGGCTAGCAAATGGCTTAGTATCAGGTCACGTTTTCCAAGGCTTGGCCTGCTGGGATGCTAAGGTAGGCTGGGGTTGCAGTTAGCATTAACTTGCATTAGGAAAGCAACAAGAGAAAACAGCAGCTAAACAAACCCTGTGCAGAGGAATCTTCTTGCCTAAGCCTTAAACCTATTGCAGAGCTACTACCTCCTTACTACGTATCAGTAGTAAGGAACCACTTGCAGCAAGTGTGGCGTTAGGCAAACCTGTAAACTTGGTTGACTATAACCTTCACTAGATGTTAAATTTGATTAATAATAAGCTTAGCAAAGCCATATTTTTTATCTCAAGCATTTGTATTACTAAAAATTGCTACAGAAGCAAATGGATGTAAAAAACATTATGTACACTTAACATCTATAGGAAGAGACAGGAAAGGCAGGAATAATTTCAACCATACAGTTAGCTTAAACATCTCTTGGTAGTTTCCTATTGTAAGCCACATATCTTATTGAAACTTGTAAGCTGGTGTAGAAAAGAGGGGTAAAAAAATTATTCAATGTGCAGGTCATTTTTATCAAGAGTCCCTGTGGAAAATTATACTGATGTACAGATTATACAGATGACTTTCTTACTGCTGAAGTTTTGCATAACGTTTCAGGGCATTAGCTGGCTTACTGAGAACTTTTCAGTGCATGCCTATTTTTGTCTATGCAATATGATCATGGTCCTTTGCACTAATGCCAGTACATATTTTTAAGTATCTATTTTGAAATGAAGTAAATGCTACAATGAAATAAATGCTAGAGCTGTATATAGATAAAACTTTATCTCAAGAGGTTATTCGTTGCTGACCAGCTAGAATTTGTTCTTCATTTTTGCTTTATAGTTTATGTTCTCGCATGAGTATGTGAAAGCAAAATAAAATGTTTGACTCTTTTAAACTAGACAGTTCTTCCAAACTATCATGAGTTTCTTTATATAAACTCTGCATCCCTTTTATTCTGCTTAAAATTCTGTATGAGAATTTCCCCTGCTAAAAATCTGGTTATCCAAGATTGGGCAACAGGAAGAAATCAGTCAATCACAATAATCAAAACACATCAAAAATAAGAACTGACTGCACCTTCTGTTCAAACTTCTTACAATTGCAAATCTGAGGTACAGTTTTAAAATATTGATGGGAAAAATGCATGCAGTATAAATATAGTGTCTAAGAAGGGCAAAACTCTAAGAATTAAAAAGTTAGAGAGAAAGATGCAGCATTAAAAGTAGATAGGGCTACTTAATGAAAATGTACCTTTTACTTGTATCTTGATTTTTGTGCAGTGAGAATTACATATATTTCCTTAATTATATAACACACAGATGGATACATATATTCTATTTTGGAACAAAATTTATATTTATGGACTTCCCTTCTAAACTTGCTCTAATCAGAGACTGCAGCAGTCATGTTTCCAAGAAAAGAGAAAGGGCTAAAAGACTGACTTAGGGATTTTTGATGGACTTTTTTTTTTTCCAGGTGACATTTACGAAGAGGAAGTTTGGTTTAATGAAGAAGGCTTATGAGCTGAGTGTGCTATGCGACTGTGAGATTGCTCTGATCATCTTCAACAGCACCAACAAACTGTTCCAGTATGCCAGCACTGACATGGACAAAGTGTTGCTGAAGTACACAGAGTACAATGAGCCGCATGAGAGTCGAACGAATTCCGATATTGTTGAGGTAAGGCTTGGTGAGGACTCTGCTTCCACCTGGCCCTGGGGGTGGAGGTGATCCACGTGAGAAGCCTGACCGAGCTTTCTCCAGGGTCTCAGAACATATCCCAGAGGTGACCTGATGGCAGGAGAACAGAACGGGGAGGAAAAGATACAGTTTGGGGGCTTGAGGTTGTGGGAGATGTGCGGAAGAGCAGTGGAGGTTGGAGGCAATTCATATATTTTGTGAGCTGTAAATTTTGTCCCGCTGAGTCTCATGTGCTCCGCAGGAACTCCCATGATGGGATCGGTGGCTCCCTGCCGTCCAGCTTTCTGTGCTGCTTTGTCTCTGAGTCGTCTCCGTGCCCCGGCCACCTCCTCCCGGCTTAATCTCACCCTTGTCTCTGCGTAGCTGCCGCCAATGTGCTCCCCAGAGTACACTGCATGCACTGTCCCCTCACTGCAAAAGTCAGCATGTCCTCACACCGTGAGGAACTGACACATACAGGGTAAAAGATGTGGAAGAAAAAGATTTAGAACCACTACTACAAGGCATTTGGTTGTGGGGTTTTTTTTTTGTTGTTGTTTTGTTTATTTACAGAGATAGTAGGTTACAGTTTAAAAGAACAGAACTTAAGAACTTCTTAAGTAAGAACAAGTTACAAAATCTAACAAATGCTTTAACTCCCTCTCATACAAAATGCTGCTACTAGTAGTATAACAGTATTATCAGAATGTTAGAAATACCTTATGATTATCAAAATGTGTGCTATTAAATACGTCAAGTTGCTTTTACAATTAGTGAAAAAAGAATCAGCTTCTTATATTTACAGAAAAGTCAGTTTAATATGCTATCATATTAAGACTCAAGCCATGCAAAATAAATGAAGCTTTTAAGGATTTGCTGCAATAGCAAAACACTCAGTAAATTTAAAAAAAAAAAAAAAAAA